AAAAAGAGAAGAGAAGAGAAGAGAAGAGAAGAGATGAGAAGAGAAGAGAAGGGAAGGAAAGAGAAGAGAAGAGAGAAGTTTAAATCCTCGTTAAAACATCGCCTATGAACCATATCAAAAAGATCGTTAAATGTACAGCAATAACATCAAAAAACGGGTTGAATCAAACCTTGATTATATAAGTAGTTTCCGTAGTTCTTCAAGCCAGTCAAAATGGTTCTTTATCCTCTAACCTCCACGCTTATTCAATCAATTTTCCCTTTTTGACATTACGAAGTGGTACTCACTTGAGAGAGCAACTTGGTATTCTTTGCTTTCGTATATAAGGACACAGGGCGACTAACCCAGGCAGACAAAGCGACTAGATATCTCCATACGAGTGTTAATTGGAACAAACACTCACACCTAAAAACTTAAATCTGATAGGACACTGCATTCACTGCTGTCATCCATATCCGCATATTTAGGTTTGTATTCTATGAAAAGAAAACGAACGAAGGAATATTTCACACAAACCTTGCGTCAAAAATGATGAAAAGTTTGTTTTTAATAAGTGAACTTCGGATGCAAAACATTTTGTGTAGATTTTCCATTAAGAAAAAAGCTGTTGTCATTTGGATTTGCTATGATTGTTGGTCGTTAAAAACCCTTGTCTTGTATGTGTGTGTGTGCTCTCAGTAAATCAAAAATAGCTTTTATATTTCGATTATCATATCAATTCACCAGACCGACCAACATTTCTAAACTTATGCATAGAGCTTTTAATCTAATGTCACAGAGGATTAAGAAACGGAAAAGAAACGAAAAAGAAAATGGCTTTGACATGATTATACTATGTCTAACAAGAGAGAGAAAGAACAGCCAAGTTGATGCTTTGTTTTAATGTCATTTCCTTGAATTATGATCTCAGTTGACAACGGAGAAAATTCGTGAGATGTTTTGTGTTGTAATCAGCACTAACCATCTCCAACCACGTTCAAGAGTACATTTATATTAATATAGGATTTTGTCTGTTTGCCCTGTTTTATTGCTTTTGTTGTTAGACCCTTGTTATTGAGAGGAGGATCGTTATCAGCTGCCAAAAAAGATTTGTTGAAGATTACGAAAGGACCTCTTCTTGGCAGCCAAAAATAAATCAGACATGCTTAAGTGGTCGGATACATCGGAAAGAAAATTGTATTAATAGGGCTCTCAAACACACCTATTTCGCTAGTCTTTATAAATATGGTCGGTTATAACAGGTTGAATATCAGTATTCACTTGTCGAATTGTACAGGTTTAAGAAGACCGGCCGGAGGGCAGAAGAATAGTCCGAATTTCAACCTATCAGTCACTAGTTGGTCGGTTTAACAGGATTCTTAAATATGACTGTTTGGCTGTGGTGAAACCATCGCTTTCAACAGGTACAGCATACAGTGAAGTCTCGTCTTGCGGACACCCCAATTTTACGGACACCTTGCTATTACGGACAGGAGAAAAATCCCCGACAAAAATACTGACAAAGAAATGACTGTAAAAAACTCTCGCTATTACGGACATGAAATGACGGTCCCGAGGGTGTCCGCTGTAACGAGAGTTGAATGTATTTGCGAATTTCATCTGCCTTTCCTTAAAATTTCGGCTGTATTTCAGTTACGTTAACTTTAGTTTTCAGAGCATGTCCTTATCACATTTAGTTCTATATAAATGCTACAAATACTTAGCGCTCTTAGAGCGCTTGATAGAACACGCCTGATATAAATCCTATTCTTAGGCATTAAAAAAAAGAATAAATACTATAATATAAATTTGGTTAAAATAGCTTGCAAAACCTATTCAAAAGTGTTAATTTACTCAAGATTGCACACTGCTAATTTTAATGTTTGTTTCATTAAAACTGAGATCAAAATCCTGAAAAGCCCCCCCAAAAATTATAAGAATAAATGAAAAGGATAATTGATAGCCGACCTCACCTGAGACTAATCCAGAATAATTTGTACCAATGGTGGAGAGAGTTCTCCCTCAATGATGTGTCTTTAAAAGTGATTTCATTACCGTCGTCTCTTCTTAATCTTGCATATTAGTCAAGGTTATTAACGCTAGGGTTGTCGCTGAACTAAAATGAATGAAAGAAAAAAAATACTTATGCATGGCAATAAAAAAACATAGATCGACAGGTATAAGTGGGAAGGAAAGGAGAGAACGTGGGGGTGCTGTGACCAATATGGTATCACTTAGCAAGTCTAATCCTTGAAAGCTTAGTATCTAATCGTAGAAAGCTTAATATCTTGGCGTAACCTAAGAAGATGCCAACCGAAAAAATTACAGTCAATCTTTGAAATGTGTTAATAATTCATGTGTAAGAGGTAGGTGATAACGATCAAGCGGTGATATGAAGATATGAGATTTATACACGTGCAATGATCAACCACCCTTGTCGACCAACCAGGAAACAGAAGCATTTTGATAGCTAAGGCATTAAAAAAACGACAACAACAAACAACAACAGCAAAAGCCCCGACACATTTAGACAAACAGAAATAGAGGTTTTGCACCATCACGTGGCGGTATCCATGTTAAATGGAAAAACAATACAATTGTTCCACCATCTTGCCACAGGCAGCCCAAGCTGTGTTATTGGCGTTGTCACGTGATGGTCCACATACACACACACACAAAAACAAAAAACCACAAACAAACAAACAAACAAACAGACAGATAGAAATAGAAAACATGAAAACGAAAGCAACAGCAAAAGAAACGGGGACTGGGTCGAGTTTGGCATTGTTTTCTTGGACGTGTTTTTTAAGATGGCGTCTATTTTGTCTTTTAAAACAGTCCAACAATACACTGTAATGGCAATTCGACCAGTATTTTCCCCCTTCAAAATGGATAACAGAGAGTCAGACTCGCCAAGGACTCTGCGTCAATACATCTGTTCTCTTATTAATATGACGACAACCAGCCGAACTTTTCTTTTGCTCTCATTTTGCTCAAATATTTCTTTGTAAATTAATACATTTTCTGTAAAACCAATCCGTTCTGATCACTCAAAATAAACTCAGAATAAATTGATAATCAATATTGTACAGATATAAGCAGGTATAGTGTACATTGAATTGAAGATTAAAGTTTCATTTAGGGACAGTGCTGTGATTGGTTACCCCAAGGCGCAAAGCATCATGGGGCATACGAAAGTAGAAAATTCGTCTGAATGTAAATCGGCAAAATATTCACGCATGCGCAAAGTTCCATTTTTTTCACAATCAATCTCGTACCCAGAGCCTGCGTTTCTTCTGGCCTGCGGCAAAGAACAAGGACTCTGACATAATCCATTTTTTGAGACCAGGATTTCTTGGACTTCCGGTATAACAGCGCACGCGTTCAAAGACTTGCTAAAAATTAAAAATATTTTCCCCCCCGACTTTTAATTCGTACTATGATTTTTACTTTGATTTTGAGTTCGATTTAACTCTTACTTTGCTCATTTTGAGCGTTGATATCTCACTTTCCGAAAATTGCGCATGCGCCAAAATATGGATTATGCCAGAGCCCTCGTTCTTCGCCACAGGCAAGAAGAAACGCAGGCTCTGGGTACGAGATTGACGATTAATTTCCTACAGATACGATATAAAGGAATCCCAGTGGCGCCATCGATTTTTAACTGTAGTTATTCAACATCCTATTATGATAAGCAAGCTTCTTGAATTTGTTGATGTCGAGAGCCTTCCCAAGGTGATAATTTTCCAATTAAGCTATGTGGTTAAAGAAAGTATACAAAATTCAAAATTTATCTAATTCAATGCCATGGTATAACCATGTTGTCCAATTGCTGTAATGTTTATATTGTGTATATATTGCGTGCATCTATTTGTCTTGTAGACATATATCTTACCCTTGTAATATCGAGTCTTTCAAATTTCGGTTTGCAAAGTGATAATTAATAAAAATATTAATATTAATCTTCTAACACATACGAGAACGCTTTTTTAATAAAGTTAGTCGCCTGAAATTCGTACGAAGCTGAGACCGTCAAGGTTATGGGTAGAAACAATTAACCTCAGTAAACCTATGCATCGTTTGCACGTTACGTCATCGCGGCCATGATGGTACCATTTAACAAAAGATTTCTCATTAGCATCCATTGTTAACGGTACCACAATGGCCGCCATGTTTTTGTCTTTTAACTCGCTTGGGAATGCTTGCAACCCATCAATAGAGGTTTTGCACCATCACGTGCCCACGCCTATAATGCTGCTCGGGCTTCCTGTGGTTAGATGGCAGAATAACAAAATCCCTCTGATCTTGGGAATTTTATTCTTTCTCATGTAAAACGACTGTATTGTTGCTGCCATCTAACATGGCTGCCGTCACGTGGTGGTGCAAACCCTATATTGATGGAATAGTCCTCTTAACAGTTCCCTGCGCCAGCTTGAAAGGTAGCCGTGCCTTTGCATCGAAGCGAGACGAACGGTGATCTTGCAATGATAGAGACCTTTTTTAACACGTTGGACAATTATTCGCATGTCTCTATCATTGCAAGCTCACCGTTCGTCTCGCTGCGATTCAAAGGCACGGTTACCTTTCAAGATGGCGCAGGGAACTGTGAAGGGGACTATTGAGATCTTTTATACGTTACAGTTTCACCTCCTGCGAGCATGCGCATCCTCAAGCTTCAGTTTTTATACTTTGTGACTATGAAACGATCCTCAGTAATCTCAAATTTGTAGGATTTCGGTGACTAACTTTATCGAAATCATTGAATCATATATGATTCTTTTTTGCTTGGAAAAAACTTTTTTCGATTGTTTAGAAATATATATGGTTAGAATTAACTATTCGAAAATCTTGGCAGAAACTACGAAATAAAGGAAATAAAAATAATTTATTACGAACAAAACCACTCACTCGGTTGTCTTTTTTTAAGTAAGGCGGCATTTCCCCCCATCTACGCTAACACAAGAACATACTTAAATTGCATTGATAGGTAATCGTTCAAAAAAAAAAAAAAAAAAAAAATATATATATATATATATATATATATATTGATGCAGGTACACGTCATAAAGGTGGCCATTTTTTTAGCAGCTACTCTAAAAATACAAATACAAGGTTATTTTGGCTTCCCTTACAAATGAAATCGCAAAAATAGAAATATATCTTAAGATAATTGTACGGAATAAAAAAATTCAAGTCACGAATCATCGTGCTAGTATGTATGCTATTCATTCTCAAATTATTTCTCTTTCTCGGACGTGCCATCATTCTTGTTTGTTTGCTTTAGGCATGAAATATAATTGATATTTATTGATATTTTTGCAGGAAAAAGGGAATTTCGAAGAATGTTTTGAACAAGATTAGATGGATTCATGTCTAAATATTTAGAATAAACAACCTTATAGACGACCAGCTAATTGTCGTAAATTCACTCATTTAAAATTAAACCAAAAACTTGTGCAAAAATGGATAAAAGAAAGAAAATCCAAATCAAGTTTGAAGTACAACAAAGAAAAAGGCATTAAAAGGAAGATTAAAAAGAAAATTGCTTTTTGTGAGCTTGTAATACCAAAAATTTAGAGATGGTATGTTATCTTTTTTTCTAGGTTGCTAGATATATAGAGTTCCCGTGATTAAAGTGTCTAATGTAATAAGTATTATTTAGCATTTTGTGTCAAAAAGAATCTGTTTCATTTCCTCTTACTCTAAGGCACTCAACAACAAAAATTCCAAACATGAGCAACTTGACAGGAATTGACGTCGATAAACATTGAATCTAATTGGTTAAGAATGCCAAATATCAAAAATACTTCATGCAAAGACTCTCTCAAGGACAATACGAAAGGCTTGCTTGTAGCCAAAAGACTTCGTGTTTATGCGTTTGCGTGAATCTCATGTAGCTAACCTACCACCCTGATCAATATATATCCTTTGCTAGAACTTTTCGAGTCGCAGTCACTGATTCGTTCAAGTGCTTTGTTCGAAAACTGCCGACGTCAAAAGAACCGCTCCGGTCAATGTATCACTTTCTGCCCCCCACGAAGCATTCTACAGGAGTCTTAGATTTCCTCGTTAAAGAAGCACTACCTTTCTCTCGAAATGCTACTTATAGATGTGAAGTCTTTTGAAGAGCATTATAGTTGCAAAGTAAGCTGAGAGCAAAATAGCTGTTGATAGAGTACGTATCAGCACATGGCTATTTCAAAACATTTTTACTCAAAAAAGTTAAGCAGTTTTTATCTTAAATGGTACTGTAACTGAATATATTTATTGTATATATTATATGTAAATATATAACATATAAATATAGTTCTGATCAGTTATTCTCTTTAAAAATGCCTAATCGATTTTGAGTGTCGTTTTTAAACTAGTGCTTTCAATGTTATGATATGTTTCGAAACTTTATTAAATTAGGAAGAAAAATAAAAACCGGCGAAAAAATGGAGGATAAATGGTAAAAACATGTTGTTTGGTTTGGAATAAATTATTACAGCTTAAAAGAATAAACCTTGGAAAGCGGAAAGCTATGCTCAGTCTGTTCTGTTATGTATTTTCAACTTCACCTTTCTCTTCAATCTTTGAGTCCATAATTCAAACTATTCATCTTGAAATAATAAATTGCACTAATGTTTTCAATTCCTATTTTTGTACAGTGACTTAATATCTTTTTTTCCTTCCCTCGTTTTTTCTTTTGTTTTTGTTTAGCAACACCTTTTTCTCGTGCTCTAAATACGTGCTGCGCTGTCTATATCTTCTGAATTACACCCTTATGTGAAGTTATCGAGAAAAAGTATACAATATAGATTTTTAAGAAGCAAGAAATATATCTACCTCGTTAGTTTCAGTTGAAGACACGAAGGTACTTGAATTCTACATCCATTTTACACCAAGAGGAATTCCTTGGAAAAAGTGGCGATCCAACCAACCCTATATTGACCAACCAGACAGATCTTGTGGCTATTCGGGAAATAAAAAATGTAGGTTTAGCAACTGTCCTTGATTCACTTACGAGTAGGCTTTACCAGGCGGCGTTATGCAATCATAAGGAAGATATCATCAGGCAAATTAAGATATTCCGTGTATCCACCTCCTTGAACATGGTCAGCAAGCAGCGAGACTTCAATGAATTAAGCTAATGTAAGTTCAGCGAAAGAATAATACTTGACTTCCCACCTGCTTGGGTTTATAAACATCAAATTTAGTTTCTTATCCGGCCTGATTGGAGATCTAATGAAAATGAAGGGATCGTTTAATGATTCTTAAGCAAATATAATCCCTTTTATTAAGAAATGAAAGTGCATAGCTTAGTGAGTATAAAAAAAAAACCACCCAAGTAAAAAAATAGCTTTAAGACAATGTAAGTCACTGGCCCTACAATAGTATAAGACTAGTGATATTTTATTTTTGGCTGTCGGGGAATCCTAGAGTGTGTACGTAAGCGCACTGTGTAATGTATGAATATAAACTATGCAAAGAAAAAATAATAACAGAAGGCGCGAAAACAATTTACCCTGTTTTTTAAATATCCCAGAGTGCTTTGCAGAGCGAGCTTGATTGACAGCTTTGTAGATGATCGCCATTATTGTCATTGATTTCCTGTAACGAAAAAGTGAAATATATCGCTATAGAGCAGCTGTTAGTATCACAGCCTATCATGCACTGGTTACGTCTGACAACTGACAAATACTTGACAAATATACTTCCATTATTGATAAGTCGATTGTGATTCGCCATGGAAAATGCACAAAGAGAAAAATTAAAATTAAATTGCCTCATTTTTGTAAAATAGTAATCAAGATGCTAGAAAAATATATATCTAATAAGCAATTAAGTGGAAAAACGAACAAATGAGTGAGCAAAGAAACGCTAGGGAACGCTATTAAATTAACGAACAGATGAATGGATGAATGGGTGGACATAGGTACGGAACGATGGACAGACGGTTAGAAGGACGGACTGCAGCAAGGCAGAAGGACAAACAGAAGAAAATATCGAAGGACGAAAAGATGGACAGACGTACCGAAGGACAGATCAAACGACGGAAAGACAGACAGAAGAACGTAAAGAAGGACTGAAAGGTGGACAGACGGATCGAAGGA